TATGTTGATGATGTTGTTCTGGCTGGGAACTCTATGGAAGAAATCCAAGCTGTCAAGAGTTTTCTCCATGCCAAATTCAGTATCAAGGATCTTGGTGATTTAAAGTTTTTCCTTGGCTTAGAAGTGGCAAGATCTTCTCTTGGAATCACTCTCAACGCAAATATGCATTGGAGCTTTTGACTGATGCTGGCCTTCTTGCTTGTAAGAGTGTGAAAACTCCTATGGATTCTAATGCTCATCTCTCATTAACAGAAGGCAAGCCTCTTCCTGATGTTAGCAGTTATAGACGATTGGTTGGCAGGTTATTATACCTCACCACTACGCGTCCTGACATAGGCTTTGCAGTTCAGCAATTAAGCCAATTTTTAGCAGCCCCGACAGAGGTTCACATGACTGCAGCTACACGTGTTCTTCGTTACATCAAGGCTGCTCCAGGACAGGGATTGTTCTATTCTGCCAGGTCTTCTTTGAAGTTGCAAGCTTATAGTGATTCCGACTGGGCTAGCTGCCCAGACACGAGGCGGTCTGTAACTGGCTACTCTATCTTCTTAGGTTCTTCCTTGATCTCCTGGAAAACTAAGAAGCAATCTACTGTATCGCGTTCTTCTTCAGAAGCCGAATACAGAGCTCTTGCAGCAACAGCTTGTGAGCTTCAATGGTACCAATATTTGTTCCAGTTTTTACATCTTGAGCTACCTCTTCCGATTCCTTTATTCTGTGACAATCAATCTGCCATCTATATTGCACAGAATCATACATATCATGAGCGCACCAAGCATATCGAATTAGACTGCCATGTTGTGCGCGACAAGCTTCAAGCTGGGTTATTGCATTTGTTACCTGTTTCTACTCATCATCAGTTGGCTGATATATTCACTAAGCCACTCCCTCCTTCTAAGTTTCCAGATTTTGTATCCAAGCTTGGCATGATTAATATACATGCTCCAGCTTGTGGGGGGGTATCACAGAATAACAATTCTGTTAGCTAATTGTTAGCAGTTAGTTAGAAATTAGAATTATTGTTAGAGTTAGTTACGTGGGTTAGTTACATAGTTAGGAGTTAGTGGTTGCTATTTAATGTAATTAGCATATTGTAAAAGTTACTGTTTTGAATACAATACAAATCAATTCAGTTAACTCTTTGTTTTCTCCTCTTTCAATATAAAATAAACAGGCCCAAAATAGAAAAAGAAAATTACTAATAAAAATAATAATTTAGTAGAACTAAAATGGTAAAACCCTATATTTATAGTAGATGAAATATATTTTTATTTTTACTTATTTTTTTAAAGATGTGAAAAAAAACTAAATAAAATAATATTAATAATAATAATACTAATACTAATAATATTTAATATATTTTTTATATCTTAATAAAAACTGTTAACATAATTTTAAAGATATTATATAATGTAAAAATAATGATACACTAGTATAAAATAACATATTTATTTTTAATAATAATACTACTAATAATAATATTAATAATAATAATAAATAAAATAAGAAATAATATTAGTCGCTATTTCAAAATTGAATAATCATAGTAAACTATAATCTTAAAAAAAAAATTTCACTAAAACTGTCGCCAAAATCTATAATAAATAAAAAATAAATAAATTCCTACAATTTGTATTTCTTCTTATCCGTTCCTATAATTTCTTGTTAAAAGTATCTCTTCATTCTCCACCAACACATTAATTACCAACAAGTGTGAAGTGTGAACAACCTCATGTAACATTCATATCTATCCCTCTCTATGATTTTTTATTTTCTCTCATGTAAATATTTAGTTTTATTAATCCATCATGCTTAGTAAAAGTGTAAGACAAGGTAGTTTAATTTTCAATAGCTAAATAATTGAAACTTTAAACTCTCCATCCAAGAGCTACATTATCAAAGTGATTTATTTTATCTCTTACTTTCTTATTAGAATTATAACCTTCGCCTTTGCCTAATGATGTCAAATTCTTCGAATTTGTAAGTTTTGCTTACAAACTGCACTAATTATATAGGATTCATGTTTGATATGCCACTATAATTTTATGCAATTTTTTCAAGTTTATAAGTCACCGATCTTGGGCAAGTAATATTATTTTTTCATATGCGGTTTTTTTAAGTTTGTAAGTTGTTGCTCTCTGTTGGGTAATATCAATTTCTTCAAATTTAAAGGTTTTGTTTTTACAAATTACGGTAACCATATATAATTTCTATGATATCTTCATGTTTAATATGTCACTGATATTTCTTACCGTTCTTCAAATTTGTAGGATTGTAAAAAATACCGATCTTACTTAATTGCATTATTAAGAACGAAGTCAGGCTAAATAGTACCATCTGTCACATTACATTCCAAGGTTAGTGAATTGAAATTATAAATTCTTATAGTTTTATATTTGAATATGGTTAGTAACAAATATGCTAAACTTGAAAAGAAAAAACATCATGAAATAATATTGATAATTTAATTATATTTTGATTATTTTAAATTTAACTTTTAAAGGATTAATAATATTAATATTTTAATATTTATAAATTTTTATTTTAGTATTATTAAAATATATTTTAATATTTATTAAAATATATTTTAAAATATTTAATTATATAAGTAATTATAGTCCCCATCCTTTCAACCCATTTTTTATTTATAATGGTGTAACACCTATCAACATTTTTTTAATGATATTCTATTTTTATAGATAATATATAATGGTATTTTTAAGTTTAAAATAATATAAACTTTCTTGAATGTTCACTAAAAAGAAAAATAAACATAAAAATATATTATTCTTACTTTCTCATAATATTCTAATTTAAAACATTTATAAATATTACTCTAGCGATTTCAAATTTCAAATTTTTTCTACTACTATTTATAAATAATAATGTTTTATCATTTAGTTATTTTATCTACCTATATATATATATATATATATATATATATATATATATATATATATATATATATATATATATATATATATATATATATATATATATATATATATATATATATATATATATATATATATATATATATATATATATATATATATATATATATATATATATATATATATTAGTGGAAGGTTTGATCCCCTTACATAAACAAAAGGAAATGAACATCTAATTATTAATAATAATAATAATAATAATAATAATAATAATAAAATAATAAAATAATAATAATAATAATAATAATAATAATAATAATAATAATAATAATAATAATTATTATTATTATTATTATAATTATTATTATATTTTGGTTTTATTTTTTCATTCTTATTTTATGTTTCTAATTTTTTTTATTATGTTTTTTTAGGTATGGAGTTTTACACATCACAAAATTTGCTAATTTATTAAATAAATTTTGATTTACATTAATGTGATTAGTGAATATATAATTATGAGTGATATGTTTTAGGGATGTTTGATGTAGAGTTTGGACGATTTTGACTCCAAAAATTATCTGAAATGCAAGAGAAAAAGATGTGGTTCGGTTGACTTTTAAAAATAAAACTAAACTAAACTAAATCAAATCAATGCAGTTTGGATTGATTCAGTTGATTAGGTTTTTTATAAATATGTTACTTAGTCATATATGTTAGAATAATAATGCAAGTGTGAGTAAGTGGGAAAATAGTTTCACATTAGATAAAAATGTGGTGACTTAAGAATATATAAGTGGAAGAACTCACTCACCTATCATCTTAAGATTTTAAGTGAATAAGTGACGTATCTCTCACAAATGTGCATAATCCTCAACTTTGTATCAATGATTCCCTAATATGTGGACCTCACACTTGAGGTTGGGCCACTCGTGTGGTTTTTTATTTTAAACACTCCTGATTACGAATATCTCTTACAAAGGTACATAATCTTCAACTTTGTATCAATGATTCCCTAATACGTGGACCTCACACTTGAGGTTCGGCCACTCTTATGGTTTTTTATTTTAAACGCCCCTGATTACGAGTATGACTGTATTCTCACTTTCTCATAATATTTTAATTTAAAGCATTTATAAATATTACTCTAACAATCTTAAATTTCAAACTTTTGTACTACTATTATTTAGTTATTTTATATACCTATTTATTGTTATTATTTTTATATATTAATATATTAATTGGAGGTTTGATCTCTCTTAGGGAAAAAAAAGGAAATAAACATCCAATTTATTATTATTATTATTATAATATTATTATTATATCTTTAATTTATTTTTCATTCTTATTATTATTAATTTTAATATTTTGTATTTTTTATTATGTTTTTTTAGGTATAAAGTTTTACACATCACAAAATTTGCTAATTTATTAAATAAAAAATTAATTTATATTAATATGATTAATGAATATATAATTAAGAGTGATGTGTTTTAGGGGTATTCGTGGTGCGGTTTAGACGGTTGACTCTAAAAATCATCTGGGCCGCATGAAAAAAAATGTACAGTTCAATTTGATTCAATTGACTTTTAAAAATAAAATCGAATTAAATCAATGTGATTTGTGTTAGTTTAATTTTTTATAAAATTTTTATTGAGTCATAAATATATTAATATAGTACCGTTTTATTTACAAAATATAAACCGCAAACTAAATTAAATCGAGTGATTTAGTTAAATTTTGACCAAAACAAATTGGAATTAAATTTGATTTTTATAATTTTCAATTTGATTTAACTTGATTAAGGATTTTTTCTTGAGTCAGTATTATTTCTAAACACCCAGTGAAATCTTAAAATGGGAAAGAACAAACGCGCTAAACATATTTCAAAAATGTTTTTACTCCAAAATATTAGGCGCCAAACGTTACCGCTATTTCAACTGCTTCAAAATTTTTCTTTTACGCCAAATGGATGAAAATTCTCTTACACTAAATTTTTTTGGCTTAAAATCTGGAAAAGCTATATAGTAGTTTTACTTTCATTTCATAAACGAATTTCAATCTCTTAAGCATTTTGGTTCTCAGAAAAAGCATCAGTTGTAATCTATAATGGAGCGCAAGCAAAATTTGAAGAGGAAATTTGATTTCACTGAAGAAGGTGTTGTTCGTGAAAACTCTCGCCGTCTAACTCTCGCCGATGATATTGCTCAACGCATCGATTTGTTAAACTCGATTTCTTCGTCGTTGTCTGATCCGGATATTGGTGCTGCTCAAAATGATCTCTGTTTTCTTTCCGGATACGCCAAAGACGGTATGTTTGTTTGCCATTCCATTTCTTCATTTTGTTCTAATTTCTCTGTTTTGATTTGTTGTGTTCAATTTCTCTTTTGCAGAGGATATTGTGGATCTTATGGTAGTTTCTGGTGTTGTTCCCGCTCTGGTGAAGGTTTTGCATATGCTGTCTAATCTAGGTGATTTTGATGCTGATATTTACGACGTGGAAAAAGACTGCGTCTCTATCCTCGGTCATCTCGCTGTCAAGGTAATTTCACTGTATTTTTTGAACTGTCTAGCACTGTAACCATTGTTTAATAGATATTTTACTTATGCTGATCTTCATGTTCAAACAGCCGGATCATCAACAACTCATTGTTGATGCTGGAGCCTTGCCCTGTCTTGTAGAATTGTTGATGAGACCGAAGGCCCCTGGTGTTTCTCAAGCACTTTTTTCTAGTCTTCTTGGGAGAGCAGCTGATGCGATAACTAATCTTGCTCATGAAAATATCAACATCAAGACCCTTGTCAGGTTTGTTTCTTCCGAATTCCAATAATTTAGAATGTTGTTAAGTAGTCTGCTTTAGCATTATACAGCTATAGCATATCAAAATTTGGATGCCACCATTGTTTCGTTTTCAGAGCGTCTTAGTTTTCGGAGGGTTTATTTAACCAATAGATACAATTTAAGTGTGACAAATTTTGGGGCCTTTGTGGTATCCTGTTTTGCACACTCTCAAAGACAGTCTTGTGATACACTATTTAATGTAAAATATTGTCCCTTAGCTGCTATAGCGGAATGTTACCTATCTGTTATTTGCAATTGACAGCACTGCCTTAGATATTTATAGTCCATGCTCTCTAATAGATGCTATTTTCAGGTTGGAAGGTGGCATCCCTCCTCTCGTTGATTTGCTTGAATTCAATGATACAAAGGTACAGAGAGCCGCTGCAGGGGCCCTGAGAACTCTTGCATTTCAAAATGCTGAGAATAAAGACCAGGTAGTTGATTTGGCACTATGACTTACAACTGTGGATTCTTTTGTTATATAATGGCTTACAAAAATTAAAAAATGCAGATTGTTGAATGCGATGCGTTGCCCACTCTTGTACTAATGCTTGGATCAGAGGATCCTGCAATACATTATGAGGCGGTAAGACACAAATGAATTGACATAATCTTTTACATTATAATTTGCTTTTTGCAGTTTTCTAAGCTACATGAACAAGCTGAATGAAAATTAAATTTTGTAGGTTGGTGTGATTGGAAATCTTGTCCATTCTTCACCTGAAATTAAGAGAGAAGTTCTTCTAGCAGAGGCTTTACAACCAGTTATTTGCTTACTAAGGTGACACATATTGTCTTTTATTTTCATTAAGCTAAGGAGAATGTGATGTAAATGTCAAACATTGTAGTGTTCTGTGCTAGTAACCTATTACTTCTATTTTAACTAATCTGTGTTTTAATTAATAGTTCCCCCCTGTTTGGAGACCCAAAGAGAAGCAGCTCTTTTAATTGGTCAATTTGCCACAACAGATTCAGATTGCAAGGTTGGTTAAGTTGTGTTTTGCTAACCTACAATGCGATAGCTTAGTCACATGTTAAATTCTTTTACTAATCCCCATAATTGGTTCACGCAGATTCACATTGCCCAAAGAGGTGCTATAATCCCTTTAATCAAAATGCTTAAGTCTCCAGATTTACAACTTAGGGAAATGTCAACTTTTGCACTTGGGAGGTTGGCACAGGTGATTGTTACTGGCAACTGATATTTAGCAGTATATGGGAGTTAGGTTCTTGAGATCAACTCTAACTGTTTATATAATCCATGTTAGGACTCACACAATCAAGCTGGCATTGCTTACAATGGAGGTATAGAGCCTCTCCTCAATCTTCTTGTCACAAATAATCCTTCTGTCCAACACAATGCAGCTTTTGCTCTTTATGCTCTTGCTGATAATGAGGTGAAGTCAATTTCCTTTTTCTTTACTTGGTCTGCATTGCCTGTGGCCCTTTATTAATCATCCTGTTCCTTTGCAGAGACGAAGGTTAAAGAAACCCGTTCCTGCCGTTGAAACTCGTCTTAAAATCAGGATTAAGACTACAGCTGGGAGGCCTCCGCCTGTAGTCATCAACGAGCCTACTGAACATGAAGTGATTGCCAAGATAAACAATCCTAGCGAGAGTGATAACTCCAGTTCTAGTGCTGAAATCCCAGTCCAGGTATTTGCTTCGACAAACCATCATTTATTTCTTCGACTCCCTTTTTTGCTTCATGAGGATTCTGAAAGAAACAAATTTCTTTTATTTTCCAGGACACTGCTGGCACTTCCAAACGAATTCCTACTCCTGTCGAGGACTATGACACCTTCTTGAATAGTGAAGGGGATCCTACCTATAGGCCCACTTCAGTGAAAGGCTCTTTCATGAGTTCAGCTGACGAAGTGAATCAAACTTCCGAACCTCAGCACGAAACCATAAAAGAAGCCGATGAAGAAGAAGCTGTAGGAAACCAAGAGGTGACTAGGGTTCCGTTGGTTGATGTGCAAGAGAATGAAGAGGAAAGTATCCCTGTTGCTGAAACTGAAATAGAGAGGGAGAATGTAGAAATCCAAGAGGCTGATGGTGAAGAAGGTTTTGCTGAAGGAAACAAAATCCTCCAGGCACTGAAGCAATTCCAGATCAGTCTTCACAAGGAAAGTCAGTACCAGGGCAAGGCACAAAGGAGAAATCTAGAGGAACTGAAAAGCTACAAAAACTAGGTGTGAGAAGGCCCTTTGTACCCCTAGGACCAACAACAAGACTCTAAGCAGCCAAGAATGCAACTGGTCCTACCACCAAGAGAAGCACATCAAAGAGGACCATCTAGTTACAATTCTAGGGTTTGTGTATTTTGGAACATCTTTATGTAACGTGTCATTTTGTCAACCTTTTGAAACATGTCTATGTAACATGTCATTCTATTCACCTTTTGAAACATGTCTATGTAACATGTCAGTATTTTGGAACATACTTATGTAACATACTTATGTAACATGTCAACTACGTATTTTCAGTTTAACTAATCTGATGTGTTCATTTACTGGTAAAATGTGCCCAAAATTATTTTGCTAAAATTAACGATATGCCAAACTGATATGCTTTGATTAATGACATGCTAAACAAAATAAGTCTTGTTAAACTGATAACATGTGTTAAAATTACACATAAGCTTGCACATAAATTTCCCAAATTGAAAAAATTACATACAAATTGATACATACTCCTACTTCTAATACAACTTAATGACAAATACACATAACACTACAAAACACAGAATCTTTGATGTTTTTTTTTTCCATTTTAACATCTTGTTGAGTTGAATTTGAAGTTCTAACACAACATCTCCTAATTCTTCATTTCTAACCCTTAATTTTCCGTACTGATTATTGGTTTCATCTAAATCATTTGCTATGCTTTCCAATCTATTACTCAATACTTGGTTTATGTCTTCTGCCAATTGCTCTGCCAATTCCTCGTGACACCAATGAAAGAAGCCACATCCTCTTTGCAAGGAGCCCTGCAAAATTCACAAATTGATCATACTTTGTTTACGATATTCTAACATACCCAAACCATAATTAGGGCTTACCTTGTAATTGTGACAACTCTAAAATTTCTTTTCATAATTCTTCTCAGTGGTTGCCCTATGAAAAACAGCTTTATCTCCGCAACGATAAAGAGGTGCAATTCGCGAGCTATTGTATACACATGACCCAACACTTTCAGATTGACAAAGGTTCTTTGGGGAAGATGAATGCTTCGTATTCACGGAGAAAAGGAAGAAGATGAAGAAGATACAAAAAAATTTGGGAAGGAGAACGTTAACAAAATTTTATAAAGGAGATGAAGAAATACGCTTTCTGCATATAAAGAAGATGAAGAAATTTGTAAGCTCACCGCCACGTCACGCAAATAAACGGACGTGGGAGGCCAATTAACGGAAGGACTAACGTGATTGCGTTTTGAAACTTAAGGGACCATTTTGACAAAAAAAGATAAGAGATCAAAGTGAACCATGACTTATAGTTAAAGGAAGCAAAATGAGTATTTTGCCATAATAATAATAATAATAATAATAATAATAATAATAATAATAATAATAATAATAATAATAATAATAATAATAATAATAATAAATAAATAAATAAATAAATAAAGAAATAAGAGAGTGAAATTGGTAAAAAAAAACTGCCAAATATTAGCCGTTATTCTAAAATTGATTAATTATACTAGATTATAATTCTAAAATTTCTTCTATTAGAATTTTTCGTCAAAATCTATAATAAATTAAATAATTTATAAAAAAGTTAATACCTACAATTTACATTTCTTCTTATCTCTTCTTATTTCCTAGTTTCTACATTTTCCCGTTCAAAGTATTTTTTCATTCCCAGAAACACTAATTATAAACTTGAAGAGTGAACAATCTCGTGTAACATTCATTTATATTCCGCTCTTTAGAATTTTTTTTTCTCTCTCATGTAAATATTTCTAGTTTTTTAATCCATCATGCCTAGTGAGATAAGGTAGTTTCATTTTCAACAAGTAAATCATTGAAGTTTGAAACCTCAAACTTTCCACCTAAATGGTTGCATGTAGCTAAACATATATTAGTTATATCAAAGTGATTTATTTTATCGCTTTATTTTCCTTAAAATTATAACCTTCATCTTTGTCTAGTGAGGTCAAATTCTTCAAATTCGAAAAGTTTTATTTACAAATTACACTAATTATATATAGGATTTATGTTTGACTTGCAGCCTACTCAAGAGTGTGTAGCCAAGATGTTAAAAAGATTGGAAGAAAAGATTGAAGGGCGAGTAAGTTTTCTCCCAAGTTATCAGTTACTATGTCTATGACCAATGATTTATTTGTTTAGTCAAAAGATATTCAAACGTTCCTTTTACTGTTGTTTACATTATTGATTTTGATTGTTTTGTTAATTCCTCTTTTGCAGGTACTGAAGCAAATGTTATATCTTATGCGCTTCGGAGAAAAGGGTGTTCAGAAACGTGTAGCTCTTGCTCTTGCACATTTGTGTTCTGCCGATGATCGTAAAACTATTTTCATTGACAATAATGGTAACAAACTTTATATATACACACACACACACTTTTGTCCCCTTTTTCTGGAAGTTCTTAGAGAGTATTTTCAATCAATATGCTGCTAAATCTTCAGGATTAGAATTGCTGTTGGATCTCCTTGAATCTACAACCAAAAAGCAGAAGCGTGAAGCCTCTGCAGCGCTTCACACAATGGCTACCAAAGGAATGAGTGCCTCTATTGTTGATCTTGCGCCTGCATCACCAACTCCCAGGGTAATTTTCATTTTATGTCTCATTGGATTCATCACATTTATTTTGGTTTTTTGCTCTGCACATGTTCTGTATTATCATAGTTGCATAATTCAACTGCATTTTGAACTTATTGCCTTTGCAACTTAGTTGTTTTGTTCATATTCTACTGTATATATTATGGTGATGTTCATGAGAATGGAAAATGAGATATTTCTTTGTGTTGTATGTGTTTGTAGGTTTACTTGGGTGAGCAATATCTAAACAATCCAGTACTTTCTGATGTCACCTTCATAGTTGAAGGTAAACAAGCTGCTGCCAATTTTTGCTGCTTGTATGCATATCGATTATGATATATCTACTAATTTACTTATTTCTCCTTTCTTCAGGCAAACGCTTTCATGCTCATAGAGCTTGTTTACTTTCATCTTATATATTTGGTGCAATGTTTGATGGGGGTTACAAGGTAAGCATTAACTAATCATTCAACCTAGTTTCAAGTTCTCTTTTAATTCATTACCTGTAAGTAGCAACTATTATTCTTTTGCAAATATTCAAATAGAAACTTGATCAAGATGGCTGTTCATTGCTTGGTATCTTTAATATTTTGAGCGTACTATTTATCTAGCTCCACAAACATAATCACTTCACAATTGAATTAGGATTAAAGGATATGTGGAGTTGAAATGTAAATATCCATCATAATGTGTTACAATGTGCAATGCAGGAAAAGGAAGCGAAGGATATAGAGATTCCAAATATTAAATGGAATGTCTTTGAGTTGATGATGAGGTATGTTGGTACTGCCCCTTTTCTTATATATTGATGTTTTTATAATAGGCTCTATTTATGAACTAATTTTCTGTTGGTACTTCAGATTTATATACACCGGAACCGTAGATGTTGATTTGGATGTTGCCCCAGACCTCCTTAAAGCTGCAGATCAATATCTTCTCGACGGTCTTAAGCGTATATGTGAATCTGTTATTTCTGAGGTAGGCCATGGCTTGAGTTTCACAGTTGCTTTTATTTCATTTATTTTTTAAAATTTTTAATGGTTTAATTTAATATTGTTAAATTATTCTTGCAGGATATTTCTGTGGAAAATGTTTCACATATGTATGTGATGTCAGACACTTATAATGCGACATCGCTAAAATATTCATGCATACTCTTTATCTTGAAGCAATTTGATAACTTGAGCTCCAAACCATGGTATGTTATCTTACATTCTTTACAACTTGAAATGTAGTTCTCTTATAGTATATTGCACTGATCATATTTTCTTTCTCAATCTTAATATGCAGGTATTGTCACTTTATCCGTTGCATTAAGCCAGACATTCGGAACTTCTTCTCGACTTTACTTACCATGCCTAAACACACTGGCTAGTGCTGATTCTCAGATTTTTAATCTTTTCGAGAACGATGAAAATGTACAAAGCTGTTGTTAATAAATATATTTGCATGCCATTATTTGGTAATAACCTTAGAGCATGTTTGCTTCTACAGGGTTAACAAATGCTTCAAAGTGTAGCTTCTGTCCAATTGCACAGAAGCACCTTGATTTTGTATTTTTCTTAACATATATCACAATAAAGGAATCGTATTTTTTACATTTAGCAAGATAATTTGGCCTTTTTTTAAGCTGGTGAATACTGGTTTTGGTCTATCTAAAATTGTTGGTGGTTATGCTTATAAGTTATAATAATTGATGTTAAAGTGCAATTTATTTGCGCATTTTCATGATTTGACAATAGGGTTGTTGTTTTTGTTAATAAGGGAATAATTTAGTTCCCCTTAATTGTATATATTTTACATTCTTAAAAGAGATTAGAAATTAGACCTAGAATATTTATAATCAATAGTCGTAAATGCTTAGATTATTATATATAGAAGCAATACAATAAATAAAGGTAGGAAGTCACAATTCCTTACATGATATCAGAAGGTTGAATCAAACCTAAATCTTGTTAACTTGGCTTCTTTGGAAATTGAAACCTTGTAACTGTTTTTTATTGAGTTTTTGTTATCTAGAGATTTTGTCTTTGTGATTTCCCTTGATGCCTTGTGATCTTGGTTGTATGTTTGTCACAATCAATTAATGTGATTGTTGATTGTTTGTTGTTGGTTTTCAATTCTTTATGCGTCGGTTTGTTGGCTGCAATTGAGTGTTTTGGTGATCGATACTTATTATTTGGAGTTCTCTGTGCTAGAAGATTGAAGATTTAGCGGTGATAACCATTATTATTGCTAAGTTTTTGATTCAGTGCTAGTGTTGGGCGGCAAGTAAAAAGTTATTAATTTAGTGAGTGATATAGGTTATATTGTATCGTGTTCATAGAGATTGATTATTGAATCGTCGTTCGAAATTTTTTCGTGTTTATGAGTTTGGGATAGAATGGTTTTGTATGTAAGGTGCTGAAATTAAAAGTTATACACAAGAAAAAATTTATCATTCAAATAGGATATAACTCTCGAGTTTGTATTTTGTCTATCCCATCAAATACTTAAACTTACTACCCAGTTGTACTTAACCTTAACTACTCGTTAATATCATCACACATCGCTCACACATAGGTCATTTCTAACACAGAGCGAGATATCAACTGTGTCGCTCCATGTCGACGATCTCTCAGCACAACACAAAACAACACGAAGGCATTAAGAGTCGATAGCTAAGTGATTACTAAGTCTAAATATATTTCTATAATCTAAGCCCAATAGATATTCATCCTAAGTCTGAATCCCAATTAATTCCAATCATTTTTCTAAGATAAGGTAAAAATTCAAACCACAACAATGGTTGAGGGTTCAAGAAAATAACGAATCAACATCCATTCAAAAAGGGAACTAAACACTCATAGACATACATTTAGAAAATACAACATGGATATCGAAAAAAAGCTCAAAGTAGTTATTAATGATCATACACTCGCAAGGTGAATTGACTATTTGGCTAGGTAATTGTGCTCAAAATGAAACAAAAATTTCTTGATCCTTTTCTTGCATTCATACAATCAACATAAACAAAAGATTAAGCATAATAAAATCCAGTTAAAACAAGAATTATGGCCTCCAACATATGAACAATGGAAAACTACCTCACAAAAAGGGTGGAAACTAAAGTGATTCATAAATGAACAAGTATACAAAAGAATGAATTGCATAAAAAAGGTAAAAAAGTCTAAGTATCATGAATATGCTAAAGTAGAGAAAGCGATAAACATACCTCAAACGTATACAAAATTTTAACAAAATCATTATCACGCATTCGCAAGTCAAAACGATTAAAATTGACAAATCACCTCAATATTCTACAAGATATCAGACCAAAATTGGAATCCAAACAACAATCAAAAGAATTAGAAAAATAATAATCCTACAAAATTTCAATGTACAAAATTTACAATATATACAACGAACAAAACTCCTCAAGCTAAACACGACAAGCTTTGGGAAAACACAAATGGATATAACAAAACAAATACAAATAATTATATGAAAACCGGGTGAAAATGAATTAACAAGTTGAAAAGTGAATATTTGAAATTCAAAACATTTCCTTATTTCAACTTGTTAAAACACAAATCACCACACACATAAACAAATACAAACAAACATGTTTGTTTTACGTCGTAAGCTCAACGCTTTTATTGTGCAAGCTAGTAACATCCTCTCCTCATGCCATTTTATATTGCCACACCGTGCAAACCTAAAGAAAGTGTCTTAACAATCACACAACAAACATTATGAAAACGAGACAATTTACAACAATACGTGAAAACAAAAAAAAACACATATATGCACAAATATCATATACAAGTTAATATACAATTTCTATACAACATATACATTAATTACAAAACTCATAAACAAAATAATTACTGCAATGGGAAAACAATAGAACTGATCCCCGACAATATATGGCGCCATTTTGTTGCAGCAGTGGAGCGATAAGAAAAAAGTAAGTTATTAATTTAGTGAGTGATATAGGTTATATTGTATCGTGTTCATAGAGATTGATTATTGAATCATCGTTCGAAAATTTTTCGTGTTTATGAGTTTGGGATAGAATGGTTTTGTATGTAAGGCGCTGAAATTAAAAGTTATACACAAGAAAAATTTCATCATTCAAATAGGATAAAACTCTCGAGTTTGTATTTCATCTACGCCATCAAATACTTAAACTTACTACTCAATTGTACTTAACCTTAACTACTCGTCAATATCATCACGTATCGCTCACACATAGGTCATTTCTAACGCAGAGCGGGATATCAACAGTGTCGCTCCTTGTCGACGATCTCTCAGCATGACACAAAACAACATGGAGGCATTAAGAGTCGATACCTAAGTGATTACTAAGCCTAAATCTATCTCTAGAATCTAAGCCAAATAGATATTTATCCTAAGTTCGAATTCAATTCGTCCATCTCTGCAACGACTCAAACCCAAACACTTAGCAAACTAAAAAGGATAAACATCAATAAAGGTTTGTAAAGAAAGTTTCATACAACACCATGTGCAATAAATGTACATATAATCAAGGTAAATTTACATACAAAATACAACAAATAATGGTTACAAAGAGAGAAAGGGGAGAAGAAATCAGATTTCATGCGGTGTCAAACACGATTCATCAAGCTTACGACCTCAGATCATCCCTTTACAAGTCACAAATATTGTTATCTAATCTCTAACTATCAAAAATGAAGGTGATGGAATTTGGGAACAAATACCCCAAAAAAACATCCACCTCAAAATGAAGCAAAATGAAAGTATAAAGAAAATACGATCTGCGAGAATCGTCCGACGACATCTCTTATTTACTTGGCCCATGATAAGCCACATCCTAACCTGAAACAAATATCCAACGTTGTCCGGTAACACAATGCTTCACCTGAGAACGACCTTTATTTTCGCTTGGCAACCTTGAAGCGAAGCAAGGCAGAGGCAACATCAAAATTGGTCCATTCTCGCCCACTGTCGCCCGGCGACAGAAATTTCTCCTGGTGACGCATGACAGTCCAACAATTTCTGTTGCTTTTCTGCATAACTTCCTCTGGCTCCAATCTTCACCTTATTCATTTATTGATCCAAAAATGCATCTTGGAGCTTTATTCATCTTGCTCCAACAATGCTCAAATACCTACAAAATGAACACAAAACTATCAAATGATACACTTTATACACGAAAACGCATTGTACACAAACTAAACATATTTATACACAAAGTTGGGTTATTCAACTAATATTAACAACCAAGAGTCGATAAGTGAAACAAAAAATATATACAAAAATAACTACACTTTGCACTTATCAGCTAGCGACAAGGTTAATTTATTTCTATAGTGTTTGATTCGGTGCTATTGGCAATGGTGTACTGTTCGGCAAGTTTAGTAAGCTTCAACTATTTTTTGTTTGGCAAAATACTCTTTTTGGTCCTGTATGTTAACGTCAAGGTTTACTTTGGTTCCTTAACTTAAAAAAGGTTCATATTGGTCCCTTAACTCTTCAAAACGCTTCATTTTAATCATTTTTGTCTAATTAGCGACGGAAAAACTCAGAAATCGGTCACTAAATTCACCCCTAATTAGATAAAAAGGACTAAAATGAAGTGTTTTGAAGAGTTAAGGGATCAATATAAACTTTTTTTAAGTTAAGGAACTAAAATGAACTTTAACGTTAACATACATGACCAAAAAAAATATTTTATCTTTTTGTTTTCACTTTGCTGCATGTTAAAAAAATTATTTATTTATTTCTTATTGTTATAAATAAATAAAGAAGAAAAGAAAATTTCATGTACATGTTTGTCAGCAAGGAGGTTTATTTTCTATTATTGATAGAAAAAGGGTTCCTTATATCGTGGATTTGGGAAATGATAAAAATCAAACAATTATGCAAACACACTGTGACTAGAAGTTGATTACTGTTTTAATAACTCTACTTCTCCTAACTCTAGATTTATTTCATAACTGATGTAAAAGGATAAGTATGAATCTTTTATTCCTTCTTAAGTTAGCAATATATTAATTACTCAAACGTTCTTGTTGAAGTAAGATGATTGCCGATGTTATTTATTATAAAGAGATTCGTTAATAATGTAAGTATTGTATTTCTTTCTTATTTAGAAAGTAGATGATATAAATTTCAAAAAAAATATAATTTGTAATTAAATAATATATTTACTAAAAAACTACACTACAAAAAAATAGAAGAGTTTACTAATGGTTCAGAAGTAAGGGCTTTGATATTAATTTTATATATACAGTGGCGGAGTCAGAAATATTATAAAACCTGGGCGAAAAATTAAAGATCGCAAATTCACATTGTATATAATATATAAATACTCATCAATCAAAATAAAAGAGACTCGCCATTTTGTCC